GAAGTGTCAAATTGATTTTTATTATTTGTGTAAATAATAGAGTATGCGATAAATCAAATAAATTTTAGATTTATATAAATTTATCGGACGTACCAAACAAAAAAATATATGTTTTCTAATAATAAAATGTAAAAATATGTGCAAGTGTAGTTATCATCTAGAAATAAATAATATTGTTACAAATATAATAATAAAAAGCTTTTTAGTATAACAATTTTTTTAAAAATAGATGATATAGTAAGTCTAAATATTACATTTAGTTAAACTTAACTCTGTAAATATATATTAATGGGTTTATGTTATAAAATTAATAAAAATATATAGAGATTTTCACCATAACATATAGTTTTAATTAAAATATTTTCATTAGTTAATTGAAATGACATATTCCTCTTTTTTTTTTGTCGAAATGATGACATATTCCTTAAAACTCTCATTGAATAATACATATATGATTTTTTCACCAAATGTCTATTCAATTAATATATTGAGGATTAGTGGTATTTTAAAAAAAAAAATTAAAAATGATGACATTTTTGAAAAGTGGCATTTTTAAAAAATTATCTGCATTTAGTCTAAATATCATGCAAATTAAATTTTGTAAGATAAAATATATTTATCAATATATTTTTCTATACTGGAGATATATCTTTGTTATTTTTTATTTCTCCCGTATATAAAAACCATGAAATTTTTTTTGAATAATATAATCCTAAATTTAACGCATGTCAAAAAATCTAATAGTCACTGAAAAAAAGATATACTCACATATACATTATATTTATTAAATAAAATTTTCTATATTAATTACCACATATTCTTTACTTCTATATTTGTTTAATAGTTATATATTGTATATGTGATATAAATTTAGTCTAATTATTTACAGAATAATGTTATTAAGAAATAACTTTTCTTAAAAGTTTCTTAAAATCCTCTTTGGATAACACCTATAGTTTTCACTTAGTGTCTCCTCTATTAATATATAGAGGATTATGCACATTTGTCATTCAATGAATTGTTCAAAGAATTCATCACAATTCCATAATTTCTGCGAACCTATCTGTTAGGATAATGTTTATTGTCTTAAAAGAAAATTATGTACATTTTGTCATTTAGTGAATTGTTCAAAGAATTCATCACAATTCCACAATTCTACAATTCTTTAAAAGTGAATGGTAACATGAACAAAATGTTCCTCTACATTCCTCATAATTCCACAATTTTACATACACCAGTTAGGACTATAGTTTCATGCATATAACAAATTTTAGTTTTAACATGCTTATGATGTATTTACAGGTCTAATGACTTGAACTCCCAAGTCTTAACAACAATTTTTTTTATATTAATTGAAGAGACATTAGGTAAAAAAATCATATATATCACTCAATAAGAGTTTTAATAGACACATCAATTAAATTAACTAATCAAAACATTTCAATTAAATCTGTATGTCATGTTGGAAATATCTACATGTTTATATTTTTTTTTAACATGAACTTACAAATACATGTGTTACAGATTTAAATCTCACTAAAATGTAATATTTTAAATAAAATAATATTTTTCGATGAATCATTTTAACTATAATGTAACATTTTAAATAAAATAATATTTTAACGATAAATTTTTTGCTTTCGAATATTTTACGTAGATAAAAAATCTAGTAATACATTGTTTTTAAATTGATTTTTCCAAAATTTTATTTGTCTAATTGTGCATCTATATTTTTGGTCATTTAGTTAAATTAAAGATGTATTTAATAGCCTCATGCATGATATTCATCGTCAATGGACAACCACGCTTATTATTATTATTTTGATAAAAATATTCTGCTGAAAACATGTGAATCGGTTACAGCACGGAAAAATTATAACATACGAACAACACTATAAGCTACGATAAATAATAGAGCAAAATTTAAAAGCTAAAAAAACATACTAAAAACATATATCCAGCATTATACAGAAAGAATGAAGACATTGTGGTCGAGTGGTAAGAAAATGAGATTGGGACGCCAACACGTTTCAAGTTCGTTCTATCTGTTGCGCGAAACTAAAACATATTGTCCTGCACACCCACATGGATATAGGCCTTTATATTCGGCTCATTTGCATATACGGGAGGGTCTATCCATGGGTTACACTTCCTTTAAGGATTAGTATGAATCATAGGCCTAGGATTAACTTTGAGTTATCAAACAAAAAAAAAGAATGAAGACATGCCTATTATCGTTTGCTCAATTGTATTTTTTCAATTATTTTTTATTTTGATTATCAATTCTTGCTCGAAGTTAATATTTACATTAAAATTTTAAAAAGTTTGTTAACACCATATATATAACTAAAAAAAAAATCACTCACATGCTACGAAAAACCGCTTCCGTCTATGAATTTGTTCATATAATAACATGTTTAATTACATAGTTTTTGAATTTTCTGCAAAAAAAATAACCGTGACAATTTTTTGTTGTTGCAAATTTAACCCTTAACTGAAAAAAATTGCAAGTCAATCTACCCAACTTATTGGTCACCCGCAATATAACCCTTATATATATGTTTTTCATTCTGTATATCACGGTATATCTGTCATCAAAACTACGTCGTTTTGATTTATTTTAATAACATAAAAAAAATTAATTGAGGGCTTCTAACCTTTGATCTCTTAGACATGTCTACAATACACAAGCATTATGACACGATCAAAATCTGTTGTTTCAACAAACATATACAAATATAATATACCATCGATTCATCGATTTCTCGTCTCTTTCCTCTTACCTTTGTAATTGCTCCAAGAACAGTTATAATATATTCGATCGATTTTTTTAATAGATTTGGTATTTTAAATTTGATCCAGTAATTAACATATGAAACTTTCTGATGCAGAACACATAGTTTTTTATTTGGTTTTGGTGCTTCTT